CAAATCCAGTGATTTTAAAAAATGTTTGGGTTAATGGTTTGTAGAAGCTGAATATCTTTGAGACTCTGATGAATGCCATGAATTCTGTTTACAGATATGTATGCTTGAAGGTTACAATCAGTACAAATTTGTACACAATTTCAAAGGTTTGATGAACTGAAGTTAGGAATCTATGTTATGTAGTCTCTAAGCCAATCAAGGTGCTAGTTGATGAGGCAAATAGTGTAATCCTTATCAGGGGTAATGCCATTATAATGAGAGACTTCTGAAGCATTTCTCAATCTCTTTCTTTACACCTTGACAACAAATTGCTTATAATCTAGGAAAACATACATTTCATTCATCTCTGTGCAGGTCTGCCTCCCCTATTAGAATGTAAATCCTTTGATGTAAGGGAAAAATCTGATGCCAATACCTAAAGCAACCTTGAGTAATAACTTTTATTACTACCACTGCCATTTATTGAACACTTATTTATACTTCACACTTAATAGTAACGATGTGCCTGGCATCATTCCAACTCATTTACTCTTCTTCACAACTCCAAAAGGCGGTCAGTATTATTATTTCCCTTTATAATGAGGTCTAAAGCTACAATGAAATGGAGCCATTGCCCAGGGCCACACAGTTAAAGAGTGGTAGGACTGAGATATAGGCAGTTTTATTACAGAGTCTACATTAGCCCTCACCTTAGAGCATCTCTGTTTTGTCACGTAGTCCTTGTATGGTGCTGTAGTTTCTGAGGAGCCACTAGTAGGTTTGAACTGCCGACCCTGCTGTCCAAATTGACCTTGTGGTCCTGTGTTTATCCTACAGTGCCACACCAGAACTACATGATATTATAGAGTTTATTATTTTAAACATGTTTATTTTGAAATAACAATTTTAGATTTACAGAAAAGTTGCAAAGAGAGTAGACAGACTTTCCACATACTCGTTGCCTAAGAAATTAACATAGATACAGGATCTCTGGTAGCGTAGTGGTTAGGAGTCAGGCCTCTAACCTCAAGCTTAGCAGTTCAAAACTCCCAGCTGTTCCATGGGAGAAAGATGAGGCTTTCTGCTCCCGTAAAGATTTACAGCCTGGGAAACCCTGTACAGGGTCGCTATGAGTCGGAACCATTTCTACAGCACATCACCACCACAATACTATTAAAATTTACATGCAACTTTCACCCCTGAGAACTGGGGCAGTGCTCCGCCAACTGAAAGGCTGGCTGTTCAAACCCACCAGTTTCTCCTTGGAAACCTTATACAGAGTCGCTGAGTCAGAACCTACAAAATGGCACTTAACAACAACAATCACCACCAGTTTTGCCCCACTGATGTCCTTTTTTTAGTATTTCTTTGAGTCCCATTACCTTTTTTATGAAGTGTACTAGCTAATATTTTTGTAGACTGTCACTCATTTGTAGGATAGTCCTCAAACTTCTGCTGTTTTCTAGCATTTTCTCATATATTCATTGAGGTTTTGCATTTTTATAAGGGTACCACATAGATATACGAGTTGGGCTGCTAACCACAGGCCAGCAGTTCAAAAATACCAGCCGCTCCCTGGGAGGAAGATCTGCTCGCATAAGATTTACAGCCTCAGAAACCCTATGCAGAGTCCTTAGGAGTTGGAACCACACAACCAACCAAGCAATCATAGGTAATAGTGTGTCCTTCCTAGTGCAGCATATAAGGAGGTACAGGCTGCTGATAATCTTATTGTTGGCATCACTAATTTTGACTATTTGAGTGGGTAAAGTGGTGTGTGCCAGACTATCACTGTTAAGTTGCATTTTTCTTCAGCAACTAGTATTTGTAGCTAGTTTGTCTGCTTCTCATTATACGTTCACCCATTAAGTTTAGCATGCATTGATAATTCTTGCCTATAAAAATTATTAATGGATGTTTGCCTAAGGGTGACTGTTTATTTTAATCATTTCTTCTATATTTGTCCATTGAAAGTCCACCAAGAGGAAGACCTGTACATTCATCTCATTGATTCAATTCTTTAATTATTTATATCAAGATGGATTCATGGGTGGTTGGTTATTTTACGCTATCATTAGGTGTTTTTCTGCTTAAATCATCTTAGATTAAGTCATTGGAAGATCCTTCAGGTTAGCTCCCTTTGGCAATTCCTTTCGGAGAAAGTCCTTACTTTCTGGCACCAAAAAATATGAATGGATTTTCCCTGCCTTAGCCCTGCAATTGATTACCCCCACCCCCACCCACCCAAAGACAGCTGGCTTCCTTTATTAGTAAGTCAGAAGAGTGGTATTCAGAAACCAAGATCTGGATGCTTTGATTGGAACATTCCTAGTAGGGTGTCATTGCTTCTAGTCCGTCTCAGAGCTAGGAAGTGCAGGGGTTCCAAGGCTGCCACCTCTTTGTCCCATGAAATTATGGGTGGATATGAACACCAGCCTGTCGGTTACCAGCTGAGCCACCAAGGCTCCTTATATGTATGTATGTATGTATGTATGTTGTTGTTAAGTGCCACTGACTCGGTTCTGACTCACAGCGACACTGAATAGGGTTTCCAAGGAGTGGAATATGTGGTTCACCAAATATGTGGTTCAAACCAAACTTTCAGTCCAGTACTTTATCCCACAGTGCCACACCAGTTGTATAGGGGTTCCATAAGCAGTTAGTAGGTCTGAACCACCGACTTTTTGCTTAGCAGTCCATGGCTTATCCTACTTCATATTATGTATACTCACACACCAATATAAACTTCTATACTGACTTCTGGTGTGGTGTTGGAGAATAACACTGGACAGCTGATCACAAGCTCAGCAATTCAAACCAACTTTTTGTTCCTCAGAAATGCTATACAGTATCGCTAAGTCAGAACTGACTTGACGACACTTAAGAATAACAACAGTATTGACTTCTTCTTATGTCTATCTGCATATATATTAAAAGTCGCAAGTTCATACTGACACCTCTGATTTTAATCTCAATCTAAGGTTCAATCTAACAGTCTGTTATTTGAAACTGGCAATGAGAAACCTGGCTCTCATTTTCCACAATGCATTTATTTATTTGCTTAATTTTAGTACACACATAAAATAGTTTCAGAATGGCAAACACATACTTCTATTTAAAAAATCTTCTAAAGTACAATATTTATATAAAGCTATTTATATCTTTAGCTATAGAGCATTCTGTCAAAATATTCTTTTCCATTACTTAGCCTAGTTCTTTTCTTTGCCAACCTCACTGGAGTGGTTGTATCATTCATATGTAATAAAGTTAGGTTTATAATTTACTATTTGTATTTCATATTGCATTTACCCTCTCACATTCTGGTATCTGTCTGTCTAACAGAACCATAAAAGAGTAAAAGTTTTACAAAAAGATACAATGAAGAAAGGTCTGACACTCTCTTACTATCGTATTTCCTTCTTCAATCCTTCTACTCTATTCCTGCCCACTATTTTTTTACATAACCAAGTACAGTCAGACGTTTCCATTGGCATAGAAACCAAAAAAAAAAAACAGTTGCTTTCCAGTTGATTCCAACTCTTAGCAACCCTATAAGACACAGTAAAATTGCCTCAAAGGGTTTTCAAATCTGTAATCTTTACAAACACTACACTGCCACACTTTCTCCTGTGAAGCTGCTGGTAGGTTCAAAATGCCAAATCTTAGATTGGCAGCTGAGCATTTTAACCACTGTGCTACCAGGACCCCTTGGTGGTGGTGGTGGTGGTGGTGGTGGTGCTGGTGGGGTGCTGTGGAGTCAGTTCTGACTCATAGAGATCCTGCATAGGGTTTTCGAGGCTGTAAATCTTTATGGGAGCAGAAAACCTCAGAAAGTTAGCAGTTGACTTGTACCCACTATACTGCCAGAGATCCTCAAGATCTGAAAATTGTCACGTTGTTCTTGGTGTTATTGGGTGTCGCTGAGTCAGTTCTGACCAGAGACACTGTGCACAACAGAATGAAACACTGCTTGGCCCCTCAACATCCTCACAATTGTTGCTACATTTGAGCCCATTGCTGTCACTACCACTGTGTCAATAAATCTTGTTGGGTGACTTCCTCTTTCTTCTGACCCTCCACTTTACCAAGCATGATGTCCTTCTCCAAGGACTGGTCCCTCCTGAAAATATACCAACTACGTGAGATGAAGTCTCACAATCCTCACTTCTAAGCAGCGTTCTGGCTACAGTTCTTCCAAGACAGATTGACAGATTGACTTGTTCTTCTGGTAGTCCATAGTACTTTTCGTATAGTTCACCAACACCATCATTAAAACACATTGATTCTTTTGTGGACTTCCTGATTCATTCCCCAACTTTCATATACATAAAAGACAAGTAAAAATACCATGGCTTGGGTCAGGGTCACCTTAGTCCTCAAACGGACATCTTTGCTTCTGAACATTTTCAAGAGGTCTCTTGCAGCAAATTTGCCTAATGGTATATGCCTTTCGATTTCTTGACTGCTATTTCCATGAGTACTGATAGTGGATCCAAGCAAAGTGACAATGTCAGTCAATCTATTCTCCATTATCATGATGCTATTTATTGGTTCAGTGGTGAGGATTTTTGTTTTCTTTACATTGAGATGCAACCCCTACTGAGGGCTGTGGTCTCTGATCTTTATCAGTAACTATTTTAAGTCCTCTTTGCTTTCAGCAAGGAAGCTGTCCATCTGCATATCGCAGGTTGTTAATGAGTCTTCTACAATCCTGATGCCAAATTCTTCATATAATCCAGCTTCTCAGATTTTTTGCTCATTGTACAGTCTCAATAAATATGATTAGAGAATACAACCATGTGTGAAAATCACACAGTTATCCAGTAACCTGAGAGTCCTTGTGTGGTGCTATAAAACAAGCACTGAAATGCTAACTGCAAGGTCAATAGTTCAAGCCCACCAGCATCTCCTTAGAAACCCTATACAAGGTAGCTATGAGTCAGAGCTGAATCAATGATCTTTATCAACAACAACATTCAGTCACCTAAGATACCTGTAGGGGGAAAAGAGAGGGTTGTTACCTGGCAGCAGCCTTGGCTTGCAGTTCAGGGAAGGCAGCATGGCCCTGTACCATGTGGTCTATCTGAAAAACAAGTGAGCAGGGTTAATTGTATAGTTTCTCCCACTGATGTTTCAGACATACCGGTATTAACAAGTCTGTGTCTTTTATCTCTGTCTATAAGCAGCCTTGGTGTGGCGCTGTGGGTTAATGTGCTGAACTGCAAAGTTGGTTTGAATAGCAAGGTGGGTGGTTCAAGCTCACCAGCCACTCCCTGGAAACCCAATACAGGATTGCTATGCGTCGGAACTGACTCGACAGCACTGAACAACAACAAAAATAAGGAGCCTTTGGCATAGTGGTTAAAGCTTGTTGGCTGACCTAAAGGCGGGCAGTTTGAACTCAGCAGCCCCTCCTTGGGAGGATGATGGGGCAGTCTGAATCTGTGAAGCGGCAGACCAGAAACCCCATGGAGTAGCTCTACTTTGGCTTATCAGATCAGCATCAGTTGCAATTGACTTGACAGCAATGGGGCAGGAGATCTAAGGCCGTTAAAAAGCTAAGTCAGCAACAATGTCCCAGCTCTTTCAGATCTAGTTTTCTTTAAATTAATACCTCTTAGATTTTTAAAACAAAGGGGTTTAGAGAGAAGATTTGTTGTTGTTGTGAGGTGCTGTTTCTGAGGTTGTAAATCTTTATGGGAGCAGAAAGTCTTATTGTTTCCCTGTAGAGCAGCTGGTGGCTTTGAACTGCCAACCCTGGGGTGAGCAGTCTGGTGCTTAGCCTAAAGAGCCACCAGGGCTCCAGAGAGAAGAGTGGTAGGCAGTAAACCTTCCAAGATTGAACGGGTAGCAGCAGGTAGTATCAGGTTGAGGAATAGGGTCAGGAAAGTGAAAATGAGGAGTGAAAACAGGCGGGCTAAATAAAATGATAAGGTGGTTTCTGGGTGTTAAAAGCACTGATCTCTGGGTCACAAAAGTTTCCTCTGTGCCAACCCCAGTACTGATTGCAGATTAGACAGCTATGAAACATAGGGTTTTCACTGAATGATTCCTAGAAGTAGATCACCATGCCTTTCTTCCTACTCCATCTTGGTCTGGAAGTTCCTCTGAAACTTGTCTAGCATTATAGCAATATGAAAGTTTCTACTGACAGATGAATGGTGGCTGCACATGAGGTGCACAGACTGGGAATCAAACCCCCATGGAAGGTGCCATTTCTCCCACTGTGCCACCAATGACCTAATGTGATTTTGTGTAAGTCTTTTCACTGCTTGGAGTCAGCATCCTTTAAGACAGGATTGTTGGGAAGTAGAGAAAGTGTACTGTAATTCAACAATGGTGGCGGTTCCAACTCAGAGCAACCCTGCATAGGGTTTCCAAGGTTGTAAATCTTTATGGGAACAGAAAGACTCCTCTTTCTCCCATGGGATGGCAGGTAGTTTTGCACTTCTGACCTTGAGGTTAGCAGCCTGACTCACTGTTGTTGTTGTTGTTATGTGCTGTGGAGTCGGTTCCGACTCTTAGCGACCCTACACAGGGTTTCCGAGGCTGTAAATCTTTATGGGAGCAGACCGCCTCATCTTTCTCCCACGGAACCTCTGGTAGTTTCGAACTGCCTGACTCATAATGTCACCTAAAATTTATTGACTCATTTAGCACCAAGCAAACATTCTGCATACATTATCTGATCCATTCCTTACAATGCTCCTAAGAAGACTACACTATGTAGATATGAAAAATGGGACCAAAAGTGATGAAGTGGCTTGTTCAAGGTCCGAGGGCAATGAAGTGGAAGATCTAGGTTACACTGAGGTCTCTCTGTATGTAAAGTCGCTTTCATATTGTCTACTAAAAGTCTAAGAATAAGTTGTTGGATTCCATTTCTGCATTTCTGCATGAATATTATAAAAGAATACCAAAATATTTGGTCATTTCAGTGATAAAAAAAAAAAAAATCAGAAGCATGCCAGTTTTGAATCGAAACCCTGGTGGTACAACCATTATTGCTCAGCTGCTAATAGAAAGGTTGACAGTGACATCTCCGAGGGGTGATTTGTTCCCAAAAGATTACAACGTAGAAAACCCGATGGGGAAGTTCTAGCTTGTTACATTAGGCCACAATGAGTCAAAAGTCAGCTTGGTGGCACCTAATATCAACAAGATTCAATGTTGGATTAGTGGTGACAAGGCAGATTACTGATCCTCATGTGTTTCTAATCCAGTGGGATCATTAAGATGACCCACTACTACCAGTGCCGGATAATTAAAGCCATCACTTGACTTGATATCCATAGCAACTGAAAGTGCTTTAGGAGTTAATGCAGAAAAGTTTAAATGAGCTTGTGGAATCCAACAGGATTCCAGAAGGAAGCCCAGATGTGTGTATGCCTGAAAATGCATTTATTCAATATTGACAGAATACCTAATATGACAGGCCCTAGGATTGGGTGACACTGTGCGTTAACCACAAGGTTGGCATTCGAACCCACCATTTGTACCATGGGAGAAAGAGGAGGCTTTCTGCTCCCACAAAGATTTCATTTCAGAAATCTTATATAGGGTCGCTCTACATAGGAATTGATTTAATGGCATTTGGCTTGGTTTGGTTTGGGTGTAGGCTCAGGGGATACCCTGGAAAATAAGCGATACATCATAGCACAAAGTAAACCCACAGCCACTGAGGTGATTTTGACTCACAGCAACCCTGTGTAGTGTTTCCGAGGCTGTAAATCTTTAAGGGAGCAAGAGCCTCATCTTTCTCCCACAGAGCAGCTAATGGGTTTGAACTGCCAAACTTTTGATTAGCAGTCCAATTTTATCCCACAGCATCACCAGAGCTCCTAGAAGAAAGCAAGGAGTCCATTATATAATTAGGGTTAGAGTTAGAGTTCTGGTACAGCGCTATGGGTTAATGCTCTGGACTGGAAGATCGGTTTGAACTACAAGGTTCGTGCTTCAAACTCACCAGCTGCTCCTTGGAAACCGTCTACTGGGCCGCTATGAGTCAGAGCCAACTTGATGGCACTTAACAACAACAACAACAACAACAACAGGGGACTCAGCATTTAACAAGCACTCAATAAATATTTATTGAGTAAATGTTGGAGGAATGAACTATGACGGGCTTCCACCATATGGTGTCAGCACTATGCACATATTTCTTGTAGCAATAACCATGCTTTTTAACATTTGTACGTACCGGTAAAGTTTTCTGAATGTCTGTTTCTACTAACAAACTGTAAGTTCCACAAAAAGCAGTAACCGATTCTTTCTTGGTCCCTTTTGTAATTATAGGTACAGGTCAATTATATTTTTAAATAGACAATAAATGAATTGTGGAAACATGGATCAATAATGAAAATGGGGTTAGATACAGTAAGTGTTTATACTTTTACCAGACAGAGGGCCATCATCTGGGGAACAAAATGATGAAAAGTTAAGGCAGGCTACTCTGTCAGGGAGTATGTCAGGCAGGCAATGCAGGCTAAAATCATTGGCTGGCAATGGAAATGTTGTTGTTGTGAAGTGCCGTCAAGTCGGTTCTGACCCATAGCGACCTTGTACAGGGTTTCCAAGGGTGTAAATCTAAAGGCTCAAATATTCCCTGTCCTCACTCTAAGGTAGCATTTATCAAGGTCTGTTACAATCATTTGTTTATATGACTGCCTTTTCCCTTAAGATCTTTTAAAGCAAAAGCCCCATTATTTCCCAATTCTCAGTACCTAGAACAGTGTTTGGTGTCTTAAAGGGATGAATAAAGCAGTTTTTAAAGAAAATAAAACATAACTTGTCACAGACAGTATAAGGAGCCTGGTAGAATAGTGGGATATGCTTTAGGCTGCTAACTGAAAGGTCAGCAGTTCAAATCTGTCAGCCACTCTGTGGAAGAAAGATGAGGCTTTCTGCTCCTGTTAAGATTTACAGCCTCGGAAACCCTATACAGGCTTGCTATGAGTCAAACCTGACTCAACAGCACAGAACCAACCAACCAGTGACAATATAAAAATACTATGAACTTCCAGAAGAACGAACAAATCTATGTTGTAAGAAATACAATCAGAATGCTCCTTAGAAGCCAGGATGACCAGACTTCGTCTCTCATACTTCAGACATACTTTCAGAAGGGGTCAGTCCTTGGAAAAGAATAGCATGCTTGATAAAGCGGAGGGTCAGCAAAACAGAGGAAGACCCCAATGAGATGGATTGGCAGCAGCAATGGGCTCAACCGGAGCAACGATTGTGAGATTGGCTTAGAACCAGGCAGTGTTTTGTTCTGTTATCTGTAGGGTTGTTGTGAGTCGGAATCGACTTGATGGCACCTCACAATAAGAAGAGACTGACCAGTTATAGAACATAAAGAAAAAAGAGTTCAGGATGACTTTAATCTTTAGGTCTTGTTGTTGTTGTTAGGTGCCATCGAGTCAGAACCGACTTATAGTGACCCCATGCACAGCAGAATGAAACAAAGTCCAATCCTGGGCCAACCTCACTACCGCTGCCACACTTGAGTCCATCAATGATGCCACTTGTCCAATCCATCTCGTTGGGGGTCTTCCTCTTTTTCTCTGACCCTCCATCTTACCAAGCATGATATCCTTCTCCAACGACTAAGAAAAAGACATGTGGCTTAGTGGAAAAAACATAGGTTTTAAAAATGGACTTGAATTCAAATCCATGGTCTATACTTTAATGCTATGCTACCTCGACACAGTTACTTAGCCTCTCAGAGGCTCAATTTCTCCAATTGTAAATGTGGGTAATAACAATTACTTTTCTGGGAAGATTATGGTGAGTGCCTGGTATATAGTGAGTGAGCTTTCATAATATCTATTCTCAATACCTTGTTTTCTCTTATTGAAGATATGGGCTATCACCAAAAGAGTAAAAAGAGTTGGGTAGCCATCCTTCCAAAGGTTCAGATGAACTTATTTTTCTCACAGCCTCTGGTGGTAAAGGTCCATCTTGCTTAGCAAAGAACAGGCCCATTTGTCAAATAACTGAGTACTTGTTTCAGTCGCCTGGAGTGCTTGTTTCAAGGGCTGGTCTCTGCTTACGCTCCATTCTCTTATGAATCAAGCACAG